ACCGGGAGGCAGGCAGGCCTACTCCTGAAAGTTATGGGCCTATGTCTTCCAGCTTCCCGACACACTCAGGTGACCAATCATACGAGGAAACACAGTGGACCAATCACCCGAGAGAACAGTTGACGAATCACCTGAGAGAACACAGTGGACCAATCACCCAAGAGAACAGTTGACCAATCACATGAGAGAACTCAGTGGACCAATCACCCGAGAGAACAAATGACCAATTACTTGAGAGAACTCAGTGGACCAATACCCTGAGATAACCTATGGCCAATCACCTGAAAGAACACAGTCGACCAATCATCCAATAGAACACAGTGGACCAATCACCCAATACAACACAGTGGACCAATCACCCAATACAACACAGTGGACCAATCACCCAATAGAACACAGTGGACCAATCACCCAATAAAACACAGTGGACCAATCACCCAAGAGAACAGATGACCAATCACCCGAGAGAACACAGTGGACCAATCACCCAATAAAACACAGTGGACCAATCACCCGAGAGAACAGATGACCAATCACCCGAGAGAACACAGTGGACCAATCACCCGAGAGAACAAATGACCAATTACTTGAGAGAACACAGTGGACCAATCACCTGAGATAACCTATGGCCAATCACCTGAAAGAACACAGTCGACCAATCATCCGAGAGAACAGTTGACCAATCACATGAGAGAACACATTGGACCAATCACCTGAGAGAACACAGTGGACCAATCACCTGAGAGAACAGAGTGGACCAATGACTTGAGAGAACAGATGACCAATTACCTGAGAGAACACAGTGGACCAATCACTCAATAGAACACAGTGGACCAATCACCCAATAGAGCACAGTGGACCAATCACCCAATAGAACACAGTGGACCAATCACCCGAGAGAACAGATGACTAATCCCCCGAGAGAACACAGTGGACCAATCACCCGAAAGAACAGATGACCAATCCCCCGAGAGAACGCAGTGGACCAATCACCCAATATAAGGGAGTGTCTAAACAACAGGAAACAGCAAGTTACTGTGAGGGGGGAGACATCAGAGTGGCGAGATGTCACCAGCGGGGTTCCATAGGGCTCTGTACTTGGACCCATCCTGTTTCTAATATATGTAACGACCTACCAGAGGGTATAGACTTATTCCTCTCAATGTTTGTTGATGATGCAAAAATTATGAGAAGAATCAAAACAGATGAAGATAGACAGAGACTACAGGACGACCTGGACAAATTGGTGGAATGATCTAGAAAATGGCTACTAAAGTTCAACTCAGGAAAATGTAAAGTAATGAAATTAGGCGAAGGGAGCAGGAGGCTGAATACAATGTACCATCTGGGAGGTGATAAATAAAGAGAGACAAGAGACAAATAAAGAGAACAGTCTGGGGGTTGATATCACACCGAACCTGTCCCCAGAGGCCCACATCAAAAGGATATCATCAGCGGCACCAGTGTTTACAAGACGGTCGACGGGTGAGGACGACGTTCCAAACCAGTGTCAACGAAAGGACAGAACGACACCAGGAAGGTGAGGGTCAGCGGAGGTGGAGGCTTCTCTTCCCTGCCTCATGCACACTGGCCTACCACCACAAGCTGCTGTGGACAGTCACACTTGGAAGAGAGCACCGCAAGTTCGAGCCCCTGCTGAAGGAAAGTGTGAACAGACCTTACTTAACGGTAGGATCTATGGAGGCAGTTGTGTTTCTTACCCAGCAAGGATATGAAGGAATTGTTATGCAAATACCGGAGGAGAACAAGAAGCTGGCGAAGGTAATTATCTACAAATACCCTCAGATTCTAGACCCTGAATTCATCCTCGACGACCAACGATTTGTGTGGACCAAGCATCACCTTATTAAAGGTGAAGCTAGGAATCTGGTGGTGGCTCTAGTGAGAGGTGAAGTTCCCGAGAGAGTGTTCATCACCGGGGCTGGCTACAGGCATGTAGCAAAGTATGTAGAAGAGCCCATAATATGCCTGAAATGCTGCAGATGGGGGCATAAATCCTGGAGCTGTCAACATGATCCACAATGTCGTTTCTGCGGAAAGTCTCACCTCTCTAATGTGTGTAGAAACAGACTTAAGCTGAGTGAGAAAATAGTTCCCAGATGCTGCAACTGTGGAGGTGTTCACAACGCCAGCTCGGCTGTGTGTAGCAAGAGGCCGAGTATGGATGTTCTCCGGCCGGTGAATGTTATAGAGCAGGCAAGAGCTCTTACTCAGACACCGGGAGCA